CATGCGCTCGCCAGACAGACAGAGACAGAGAGACAGAAAGCGAGAAATCACCCCCCAGGGGGGATGGTCACGCCGCAATCCCTTCTCCTCCGTTCTCCTCTCGGGATCTTGGGATCTTGGGATCTTGGGCACGCACGCACACGCACCTGGCGTGAGTCTAAGCCACCGGGTCCGGGATGTGAACCGCGGTCGACAACATGGGAGTCCAGCGACATAGCCATTACGCCAACTGCTGGTCCCCTTCAAACGTTTTTAATGCACACGAGTTATTCCCAAGGGCTCAGTGAGCTGAGCGGGTTTCAGTCTTGTTCAAGCTGGGCCCCTGGTCATTCTCTCACTGAAGAGCCTCCCCTGGCTCCTAGCTCCCCTCTGCCCCAGACCCTTCGTCTCCTTCTTTTCTTCTTTTCCTTTCTTTCTTTCTCTTTCTTTCTTTTTTGGATAGAGATTTTTGCTATAGGATGTGGGCTCACCAGAGAGACAGAAAAAGACAGAGAGACAGAAAGCGAGAAAAAGCACACACACACACACACACACACACACACAGAAACTGGTTGTTTTTGTTAGGCAAACACAATTATCTGTCAAATACATTATCTGGCAACTTTTGGAGTGATAAATGAATTAATAAATTGTCAAACTAAATCTAAGTAGTTGGGCACACACACACACACACACACACATGCCTGGCGTAAGTTTTAAACCACTGAGTCCAGGACTCAAACTGTATTGACTATGTGGGAGTCCAGTGACATAACCATTGCGCCATCTGCTGTTCCCTCATTTGTTTTTCATTCTTTTTGGGTTTTTTTAAGAATCATTTTATTTAGTTTTATTCATTGATGTTGACCAGAGAGAGACAGAGAGAGAGAAGGAAATTGAAAAAGCAAGCTGCCAGGTCCAGGACTTGAACCATGGTCAGCCATGTGGGAGTTCAGCTGTCTTAACCACCATGCCACCTGTTGGCCCTGGTTCCTTATTTGTTTTTCTTTTATTTAAAGCATTATTTTATTTAACTTTATTTGTTTATTTTAATTTGACCAGAGAGGGACAGAGTGAAAGAGAGAGAGAGAAAGAGAGAGAGAAAGTAAGCTGCCAGGTCCGGGAATCGAACTGTGGTCAGCCATGTGGGAGTCCAGCTGCTTTAACCACCATGTCACTTGCTGGCCCTGGTCCCTCTTTTGTTCTTCTTTTTTTTTAAATTAAAAAGAAAACATAGTCAGGGTTCAAGCCAGCAGGTAGCCTGGTAGTTAAGATCCTAGATCCCACATGGACGACTCTCCTGTCTTGGTCCCAGACCCTGCAGTTTGAAAAACACACTGGGCTCCTGTGTGTGTGTGTGTGTGTGTGTGTGTATGCGCGCGCGGGCGCCCAAAGTCCAAGGAGGAGCATAGTAATGATCAAACTGCCAGTTCCAGGACTCAAACCACAGCCGGCCATGTGGGAGTCCAGTGCCTTAACCACCACGCCACAGGCTGGCTCTGCAGTCTGACTCTTTCCTTCCTTCTTCAGAACAACCTCATCTCCAAGGTGCCCCGGGGAGCCCTGAGCCGCCAGAGCCGGCTCCGTGAACTTTACCTCCAGCACAATCAACTGGCAGACAGTGGCCTGGACACCACGACCTTCAGGTGGGGCCCGGGGCTGGGGTGGAGCCTCCAGTCGGCGGTCGGGGCTGAGCATGTACCATCTGGGGGTCCAACCGTCAGCTCCTCTTGCTCATGTCACTCCTACCCCGAGGCCCTGTTGGGTGAGTGACACCTGGAAGGTGTCCTTGTCCCTGCCACCCTGCCCTGAGGTTTCATCCAGTGTCGCTGTGGCCACTTGTGTCGTTGTATTTCTTTCTTTCTTTCTTTTCTTTTTAGAGAGAGGTTTTTGCTATAGGGCATGTGCACTCACCAAAGAGATAGAGAGAGACAGAGAGATAGAAAGTGAGAAATCACCCCCCAGAGGGATGGCCACGCTGCAATCCCTTCTCCTCCTTTCTCTTCTCGGGATC